TTACTTACTCTCTCTCTCTCTCTCTCTCTCTCTCTCTCTCTCTCTCTCTCTCACGCGCGCGCGTTTTATTAATTTTAGCAAACACCGCTGTTTTCTTTTGTTTTCCACTCGTTTTGCCTGCTTTGCTAGTTGTCTTATTTTTTTGTCATCAAGTTACGTTCTTGTCATTTCTTGCGTCGCGTTGCGCCTAGAGTCGCTGATGACAGCCACGTGCCATCGGCGCTCCCCTTTGTACATTACTGCTGGAATTTGTGTACTTTTAACGCATTTTGCTTAACGCGTGCTTTCCTCCATGATTCAGTGATTGACTTTTTATTTCCAACTGACACATTAAAAGTTGAATCGCGCAGAGTCTTTATTTATTTAAACTTGTATCACAATTTATTTATCAGTCTCTACATTCATTAATCGAAATAGAAGTTTCTTCAATTGAAATGGAGAATGCTTGATTTTGGTATCTGTAGGTCGAAATTCACTCAGCTTTTTGTCTTTCCTCTTTTTCTCGTCACTATTAGGTTTAATTTCCACTCTCTTTTTATCTATCTTGTTGTGCATTCTGTCGTTGACACAGATAAAGCATTTCTTTTATAAATCAGCCAAAACTGGTATCACAATTTGATGGACAGCAGTATTCTTACGTTTCCGTACTTTTTATAGGATTTACGCTGCGACTATATGTTCAAGTTTGGAGCTATCGCTAACCTTAGAACATTCAGCGCGTGGCACGATTTCGTCGCTATTAATCTTATAAATTATGTTGTAAATATGGACACTGAGATTAAATAGAGTTGTAAAAGTGTGGATGGGACTTGAGATGAGTATTTTGCGCGATTTACTTTAATCGAATTTAGGTCGTGGTAAAAATAGAAAGGACGCAAATGGAGATTATGGCGCGGTACAAATTTCCAACTAATCGATCACTCTCGCAAGAAATACGCGTTTGACGATACCTGTCGTTTCTTATTTAATCCAATTTTATCCGCTTTTATCGATTTGAAACATTTGATTTTTTTAATTCCACATTAATTTGAAAAGCAATTGATTGCACTGCACGTTGTAGTAATATTATTTGTCAACTGTGTGTGTATGTTTCTCTATTTCTCTTATAATTCATATCGATTGTTGTTGCCAAAATTGTAGTTGTAGAAATAGAAATGTTATCACGTTATCGGCAGTAAGAGCTACCAAGACAAAATGATTTAGCGCAAAATCCTTCTATAATGTTAAATAAATTAGATACGACGTTTACGTATAATGCAAATAAATGTTCTTTGCTTCGAAATTTCCTGATTGATCCTGTGCTCCACCGGGAGAAATGATATTCGTGGAAATGACACTTTAACGATCGTGACAAGACAAATAGGTGTGCCGGACAACTAGAATGGTCGGTCAAATAAATCTCACTACATCGGCCCAAGATTAACTACACGTTCGGGTTACTAAATACGTACCTTCCTCAGTACAGAAATCTTTGCGGTAAAGCGCATTTTTCCGAAAATAATCTTGGCAGAGGTGCGCCACCTTTGAAGTTGCCTGGAGTCTCGAGTAATCTAATATCATATGAATCACCGTGCCATTGGCTGAGGAAGTCCACCGACTTGTTTCGAAATGCTTCTGACAACCTGACAAAAATTCCTATTTCGTGTTTCATCGTCTGTCACGCAACGGCTGCATGTCGTTCACCGGGGTTTTGCTACCACGCGAGCAACTTGAAACAAAGTGATCAAATGGAGAGATCAGTGATCATTACTCACGTTTGTGAATTATGCTCAAGTTACTTTGAAACATTGGCTACATCCAAGTAGCGATCGCTGTTTATAACGCTGTTAAAAACAATTTTTGAATTGTAGTGGCAGGATCGAGGCGATTATAATAGTAATGTATAAAATTAGTAACAATTCAAAGTAGACTGGCTGTCTAGACAAAACCGGCGCGTTAAAATCAGCATCTGCGAATTACAAATCTTGTTGAAACACGTTTTCAGCGAGGAATATTTGCTTCTATTTTATCGCATTGCATTGCTTCTATTTCATTTATCAATACAGTTGAAATTGGTGTCGTCTTCGACCTCGGGGTTCTAGAAATTATCTTCACATTCACAAATATAAATACGAATCTAAATTTATGAAATCAATATTATTGTTTTAGGTTACAAATTTACAAGGAAAGAATACTTTGATTTATTACCGTTATACTGTTTTACACAGTATAATATTAATTTTTTACAGTACAGAGCATCGTTGTATAGCCTTAGAAAAACGTGAAATATTTGCAATTTACGAAAGACGTGAATTTTCCGCGAGAATGGCTCTTTAAATTCGATAACGGAGTCCTTTTACTTGGAGCGAAACATCGGAGATGGTGTAGTCGCGCAGTTGAAAGGGTGAGACGAAGGTTGATGGCAGTTACGCTTCAATCGGGAAACGCTCCGCGTTACCTGGGAATAAGCGTGATTTTTTCAAAAGTGTATAGCTCGATAGAGGTAACTCGGGGGTTCTCGGTCGCGGTTGTGCGTGGGTGGCTCGTCTACGAGACTGTACAAGTCCCGGGTGGTGTAGTAGGTGGAACACCAGAGACGGAGGCGGTCCTACTCTGCTTGGGGGCGTTAAAGAAGTGGGTGGGGTTGGCCACCCCCGCACGTCAACCCTTACACCCCGCGTCTCCGAAAGCTTCGTGTGCCCCCCCGGATCTCTTCGATCGCATATTCGCCAATCGGCCGACCCCGTCCCGCTCTTTGGCACCCTTTGGAGCGACGAAGGTTGCTCGGCGCGGCCATCTGGCCGTCTGGCGCTCCTTCGGGCGCTCCGTCGATTTCTTCCAAATTCAAAGATCAGCCTGGCGAGCGTGAGAAGACGGAGTGCGGAGAGAACGGAGAACAGTAGTACCGCCGCCGAGGCGGCTAACGTCCGACGGATGACGAAAGTCACGAAGACCGCATATGCAACGAGCCGCAGCTACGCGCGCTCCGTTCGCACGCAGCCGGTTCATCGATTCTGTGTTGCCGGGAAAAGTGTTTTGTGTGCGATATCAGCGTCTTGTAGGATCTTTGTGGTTCTCGCCGACTGATGACTCCGGCCTGGCTGTCACGCCTTCCTCACGGTCGCGCGGGGACGACCGGGCCGACACCTAGGGGATGAGGGGGGTGGGAGGAGGGGGAGCGGGGGGGAGGAAAGAAGGTGGTATGCGCGTCAATCGTGATATATATTTCGCATCATCCCCGCCACCTTGGCTTCGTCCATTTTCTCACCTCCTCCGCCGCTAGTTCAGACGTACGTGCTGAGTACGCGCGCGGATGCACACACCTACGGTGCATATACACGGACGCCAAGTGCAACGGCAGCCAACACAGCTGCGGCGGCACTAACCCCCCGTTTTCGCGCTTGCTTGGCACGGCACAGCATCCCTCTTCGGCCACTTCCGGCCAGGCCAGGCTCCGCCCACTTTTATATTAATCACGTCTTGGTTCGCTCCTGGCTTCTGTTCTCCATCTTTCTTCCCCAGTGAGCGATTTCCTACCACGGACGCCTGGGAACCACACCTTTGCCCGTTGGCTTATTCATGTCCCGGGCTTGCGACGCGGGCCTCGACGTCTCTCTCCCGCTATTTTTCTACCCCCCCGTCTCTAACCGCCGATCTCGCGGAAATACGGCGACCGATGCGCTCTAAACGTGACGGTGCAAGGCTGATGGAGATATTCACGTAGCCGTTTGCGCACGGGCTTGCATTTTGCCTTCTCGAACGCTATCACAAAGACGTATGATTCGGGTAATTTATATATACGGCGGACGTTAATAATGAGAACGCAGAGAACGGTGTGAACGAATTAATTTTCTACTTAGAGTTCACTTCGTGTTATTCTTTTAAAATAAACCGCGATATATCCATTTCAACATTTTCAACAAAATCATATATTTTTATCACCGTGGCACGTTGGACCGTATGTTATATTATTAGATTTTCAATATTTTTATGACGTATTTAAATGCGACACTTTACATTACGCGTGTTACGACGCGCCCCCGTCGAGGATGGCCACTTGGCGCAATGAGAATCGGCGAAGAAACGAATCGCGGTGAGGCGCAGGTGAATGTAGCGTTCGTGCGTTCGGTGCCGGAGTAATGAATAATAACCCGTTATTATTACCAGGTCGAGCAATAAACACGCAGCTCGCAAACGCGCGCCCCTCGCGCGGCAATAAGGTTCGTCACGCATAGGCACGACATTTGTTTCCGCGCGTCGAGTGTGCAGGCTGTTACGAATGCCACCTTTCTACAACAGATATTGGCTCCATTGTTACACGTTGTGTATCGTGACTACTTCTCCACCGCTTCCGTCGGTGGCGACCACTTCGCCACCACTTAGGTCTCATTGATATTCCACCTCGTGTCCCTTCGCTTTTAATTTCTCTTTTGACAGCTCCGCATCCTCCTCGCCGAGCGCTGAATCGGGCGCTGATAGCGGCATTGTACCGTCGAGAGATGGCTTGCACGCATTAAGTGCTGCAAGTTCGTTTCTCTGCTCTTTATCTTCGACGTCGCTTTTCACGCGGATCCAGTTGTTGCGGAAACTACGAAAACCACGTGTTTCTATTGTTTCACTCGACGACATGATTATCTTCCAAAATAAAGATTTTTCGAGCGCAGCATTTTCGCGTAGGATGATTTCACTACTTAACTACTTTTGACTAAAAAACGAGAGAGAAAGATCCATACCTATTAGTAGGTACAATGTTAGCATGAGATATTCATCG